AGATTATATCTTTATTCTGTTAACAGAGTTGCATAAATAATAATATAAATAAATAATAAATGTGTTTGTCTTTAATTTAATTTATTTATTTGCATTATGGGCATTGAATCCAGAGTTACTCTACCACTGACTATATTCCCAGAGTCTCACTGAGTTGCCTTGGCTGGCCTCAAATTTGTGACCCTCCTGCCTCAGCTTCCTGAGTAACCAGGATTATGGGTCTGTACCACTGCACCTGGCATGTGTTTGTCTTTTAAATGCAGGGAGGAAAAAAAAGAGGAGTCACAAACCAAAATGCAATAGTACTTGTGTACTTATTAATGTAGAACTATCACAGAGTTCTTACAATTTTGTTAGATTAATGCCAGTTTAGGGGCTTGAGCCCATTCTCTCTGCCCCACTATCAGTGCAGTTGCCGTGGTGGTGCCTATACTCATCATCATGTTCCCCCCCAACTGTTTTTTGCAGTACTGAGGGTGGAACCCGGGGCCTCACACAAGCTACGCAAGCGCTCTACCACTAGCTACATCCCCAGCCCAAGCACGCCCACTGAGTAAAATCTGCCTTATGGTCTTTCAAAAAAAATAACATTTCAATAATATAAAAAAACTTTGTTCCTATAGAGCTCTGTTTCCTGTTCCCTGCTTTGTGCTGTTTTTCTCATTTGGGATTTTTTTGGGCCAAGGGGGCGGTGCTGCTGAGGGTTGGACCCAGGGCTTTGTGCATGGGAGTGAAGTGCTCTGCCACTGAGCCGTACTCCCACCCCGTTATTTAAATTGTAACTTTATGTGCTTTGTGTCCATTGAAACAGATTTTAAGTATTGCATTGTGTGATCGTCTTTTAAATCAGATAGAAAGGGCTGGGGATGTGGCTCAAGCGATAGCGCGCTCGCCTGGCATGCGTGTGGCCCAGGTTCGATCCTCAGCACCACATACAAAGATGTTGTGTCCACCAAGAACTAAAAAATAAATATTAAAATTCTCTCTCTCTCTCTCTCAAAATAAATAAATAAAAATAAATAAATAAATAAATAAATCAGATAGAAAAAGGAGTTACCTTTTAGGAGAAAAATGCACTTGTGTGGCCTGAGGTTCATCCTGTAGTTCTTATTGGTACTCTGCATTTCTTCCTGTGGACTCAAGTTACTCTGCTCTCCTCTCACTTCAGTCTGAAGGACTGACTTTATTATGTCTGGCAAGACAGGTTGGCTAGCAGCACTTTTGTTTGCATGAGAGTATCTTAATTTCCCCTCCTTTTTAGAAGACACCTTTGTTGGGTCTAGTAGTCTTGGTTGACAGATTTCTTTCCTTTTAGCACTCTGAATGTTTGGGGGGAGCCTTCTACCCTCCCGGGTTTCTGATGAGATTAACAGATTAGCAGACAATTAATCTTGTCACAGATCCTTTGTATGGGATGAGTCATTTCTCTCTTCCTGCTTTTGAGATTCTTTGTCCATCTTTGGCGATTTGATGATTATGTATCTGGTTGTGGATGTCCTTGAGTTTGTCCTACTTAGAGTTCATTAAACTTCCTGGGAGTGTAAATTAATGTTTTCATCAAATATGGAAACACCTCGGCTATAATTTTTTTAATTTATTTATTCTTATGTGGTGCTGAGGATGGACCCCAGAGCCTCACACTTGCTAGGAAAGTGCTCTACCACTGAGCCCCAGCCCCAGCCTGATCTCTCCTCTCCTCAAACCCTTGGGCTTCGTTGTACACCACGGCATCTGAGCTCTGCTCGTTTTCTTCATTCTTTTTTCATTCTATTGCCCTGACAGGATAATCTCAACTGACCTATCTAAAAGTTCACAGATTCAGGACAAGTGACACATACTCATAGTCCTCACTGCTTAGGAAGCTGAGGCAGGGGGTCATAGGTCCAAGGGCAGACTGGGCAACTTAGTGAGACCCAGTCTCAAAAAACAAAAAATTTTAAAAAGAGGGCTGGGGGTATAGCTCAATATTCAAGTGTCCATGGGTTCAATTCCCAGTAGACTAAAAAAAATAAAAAATAGAAGTTCACAGAATCTTTGCTCTGCCTGCTCAGATCTGGCACTTCAACCTTCTGCCAAGTTTTTAATTTCAGGTATACTTTCCAACTCCAGAATTTGGCTCATTTTTACAATTTGATATTCTCTACTTGGTGAGACCTCTTTCTCCTGGTTTCTTTGTCATGGTTTCCATGAACTCTTTGAGCATATTTAAGACAATTTATTTTAAAGTCTGTATAATGGGTCCAAAGTCTGGGTTTTCTCAGAATAGTTTCTGGCAACCAACCCCATCTCCTTTTTTCTTTCTTTTTTTTTCCCCCTGTGAATGAATCACACCTCTTGTTTCTTGCATGCTTTGTGATTTTTATCTTCAAAACCAGACATTTTGAATATTATTATTCAGTAACTGAAAATCAGATTCTTTTCCCACCTAGACATGTTGCTACTCATTGCAGGTTATAGTTTGTTTGTTTAATTACTTTTCTAAAGAGTTTTTGCAAAGACTGTATTATTACTATTTTATTATTTTTGGTACTGGGGATTGAACTCAGGGGGGCTTACCCACTGAGCCACATCCCCAGCCCCTTTTTATATTTTATTTTGAGCAACTTAGTAAGACCCTGGTCTTACTAAGTTGCTTAGGGCCTTGCTAAATTGCTGAGGCTGGCTTTGAACTTGGGGTCTTCCTGTCTCAGCCTCCCAAGCTTCTGGGATTACAGGTGTGTGCCACTGTGCCCGGCAAGACTATATTATTTTATCGTATATTGTTATCGGGTCTCTTTTCCTTTGTAGTCAACTGATGGTTTCATAAGGACTTTCTTTTAGCACCAGGAGTCCAAAAGAAAAACTGAGAGGAAAACTCTCGGGGCCTGCGGACAGGCCGTGCAGGGTGCTCCTGCAGCATTTTGCCAGGCCTTGCCCCAACTCTGCTTGCTGATTATGGGGAGCCAAAAGATGAGCCAGAGGTGGAAGCCTAGCATTTCCCAGGTCTTCCCTAGCATATGACTGGCCCAGGAGTGTGTGTGGCCTCTCTATTCTCCTGTTCACATGGGAGCTTTTCCTGCCTCTGATCCCCCATCCCTCTCCTTCCCTGGCCTCTTCCTTCCCAAGCTCTGCAGTATCTCTGCTGTTTGTTCCATCTGTCACCCCTTGCCCTAGGTGGAAGTGACAAGCATATTTGCCTTTAAGTGCTTTCCTGAGGTCACTCTAGCCCTGAGAAAGTTCTGAGAGGAGCGAAACAAAGTTAAGGCCTGAGTAAATGTCTCTGGAAGCCACCAAACAGGTCAGATGCATGACCAGGGGCTGGGACTGTCACTCAGTGGTAGATCACATGAGGTCCTGGGTTCTGTCCTCAGCACTGCAGAAACAAACAAAAAATGACCACAGTTCTTTGAGAACAAATTCATATCTCTGCCTGCAGCGTTACTCCATGCCTCACCCGTGGCTGCCTCTGAGCAGGGTGTGGGGGGTGACAAGCACCAAGTTAAAAAGACAGAATAGAACCTTGTGACGCTCAGCAGCATGTGCTTCCTTCAGTCCTTACCTGATTATTGGTAGTTTTGTTGTTGTTTTGTTTATATTTGTGGCTTTTGTTTCTGTTTTTGAACTGGGGTCTTGCTGTGTTGCCTTGCCTGGCCCCAACACCTGAGCTGAGCAAACCCTCCTGCCTCAGCCTCCCAAGTTGCTGGGACCACAAGCGTGGTCCACTGACCCCAGTTCTTGTTAGCTTTTTTATTAGACTCATTCTTTTTTTTTTTTTTTTTTTTTTTTTTTGTAGTTGTTGATGGACAGAGTGCCTTTATTTTAATTTTTATGTGGTGCTAAGGATTGAACCTAGTGCCTCA